TGTTGGGGAGGTGGTGACTCCAGCCTCTCCTTCTCTGTCTTGCCAAACTAAAACCGTGGCCCCGGAACACCTCACACACACGAATCTCGCTGCCGTCCGATTGTGGGGTAGCAGCTGTCAGGGAAGTTTCTAGAAGGCTGGACCACCCAGTCCTCCTGGAGGTCAGGCGGGCGCGCCGTGGTCTGACGGCTCGTCCTCGGATGGGCCGGGCTCGGCGGCGGCCTCCTGCCCGGGGCTGCGCCGTGTTCTTAGCCGTGTCGTGGCCTCCATTGACCTCAGGACGCTGAGATCTGAGGATCGCGGTTCCAAGCCAGCCCGGGCGGGAAAGCCCGTGAGACTCTGATCTCCCACGAACCAGCAAAAGCCAGAAGTGGAGGTGTGGCTCAAGCGGTAGAGGCAGGGCTCGTGGCTAACGCCCAGGCCCTGAGTTCACGCCCTTGTACTGGAAAAGAACAACTCCCCCCCCATAAACTCTGGGGTGCAGCATCCGCAGATCTTTGCCAAAGGGAGTCCCCCTCTTCCTTCCCTAACGACTCCTGGCCATGGAGAGAGCCGGCCGGTCCTGCACAAAGTCTGACTTGGCTCCTTCGTGCTTCCCGCCCTCAGGCCATTTCTTCAGCCAGAACTCACCGGAAGGGGCGGGCCGCGCCCTGCTGTGCGAGGAGAAGGTGTACCAGTCCCCGGGGGACGGGGGAGGCGCGGGCCAGGACGAGGAAGCCCAGCTCCACATGCTGATGGACAAACTCCGAGCCCAGAACGTTCTAGAAGAGTAAGTAGCAACAGCTGCCTCAGGAACTCAGCCTAGGGAGGAGCCTGCTGCCTGCCGCATTGATGACTGATTCCTGGTCTGGCGTGGCCGCTCACCTCTGTAGTCCCAGCTCATCAGGAGGCTGAGATCTGGAGGATCTAGGGTTGAAGTCAGCCGAGCACAGTAGATGGATGGATGGATGGTTTGTATGGATGGATGGAGAGATGGATATATGCATGGATGGGTGGATGGATGATGGCTGGATGGGTGGATGATGGATAGATGAATGGATGGATGGGTGGATGGATGGATGATTGGGTGGGTGGATAGATGGATGGGTGGATTGGTGGATGGATGGATGAGTAGATGGATGGATGGGTGGATGGATAGTTGGGTGGTTGGGTGGATGGATGGATAGATGGGTGGATGGGTGGTTGGGTGAATAGATGGGTAGATGGGTAGATGGATGGATGGATGGGTGGGTGGGTGGTTGGGTGGATGGATGGATAGATGGGTAGATGGATGGATGGGTAGATGGATGGGTGGTTGGGTGGATGGATGGATAGACGGGTGGATGGATGGGTAGGTGGGTGGGTGGGGGGAATGGATGGATGGGTGGGTGGATGGATGGGTAGGTAGGTGATGGATGAATGATGGATGGGTGGATGGATGATGATCGGGTGGGTGGTTGATAAGTGGGTAATTTCAGTGACTAGGTGGATTTTCAAATGGAATGGCTGCAAGGAGGACATGATGCAGGAGGGAGGGCAGGAGGGAGGGCAGGAGGGAGGGCAGG